TGCAGGAAAGAGCCTCTTCATCATCCTTGTCCACCCACTCCCACTGTTCTTCGTTAAGCACAATATTCCATTTTTTTCTTCTTCTGTATCCTTTATGCATTATGCCAATTATTCCTCTTCTTTCACAAACTCGTCCTCTTCGTAATGGAATGGTACAATCCCTTGTAGTTTTCTGTAATGGGCAGCCGCTTCCTTCCGGTGCTGTAGTTGGCACTGAGCAGGGTTGGCATCAAGGAAATGTTATTTCGTCCTTTACTCCCATACCATTAGTTGCATGTGGCTCTGGTTTAGACATTCTGCAACTATTTTGGGTCTGCATTTACTTTGCTCTCTAACGGCTTCTGGTGGCACCGGGAATGCCTCCCTTTTTGCGTTTGGCATGGTGCCATCTCTGTTTCTGGTCTTTCCCTTGAGGCGATCCCATCGCCAAAACATTTAAGGCAACCGAAATATTATGCTCACCGTATGGAGGTTTGTCTTTGCAAATGTGTGTTACGTTGGCTTGGCATTGTGCCATCTTTCTCCCGGTGCCCTTGCCGCTCCTGAAAAGATGCCATCACAGAATCGCTGGCAACCGTTGCCTGGGCACTTTTTCTTGGCTTTGTCCAAGCAAACAAGCGGCAATTAGCAGCAAATCCTCAGAGGTGAGTCCCCTTGTCTTTGACTAAGACTGTTCTTCACCGAAAGCTTTGATCGTTTTGGATATGCCATGACTGAAGGCTGGCATGGTGCCCGCTGGCTGGCATGGTGCCCGCTGGCTGGCACGCTTTCGCTGGCATTGAGAGAAAGAAACGTTGATAAATTAACGGAATTCCGGATTTTTCGTCGCCAATTTTTTTTGTTTGATAATCGGTCATCACTGAGTATCACCTTACTGTTTTGTAGTATCATCCACTTCGCCATTTAACATCCTTCTTTGCTTCCCGTCATCCATTTCCATCTTAGTCATCCTGTGTCTGCTGGCATCTTGCTCACTTCTATGCTCTGCTGTGATCTCAGAATTTCTAAATCTGCATTTCTTCGCCCGCTCTGCTGTTCGTTTCGCCCAGTTGTGCCCGTGCCAAGGTGGCACCATGGTAGCAGTATGGAGGTCTGTTCCTGTTCCTCTTCCTCTCTTATTCTCCTCGCCCCTTCGCCCGTGCCCATGCCCGCCCCGCTCAAGTCCTGACTGGATGGCACTGTGCCAACCTGCCACCGCCATCGCTCTCATTTGTAGCTCATCCCTCCGTTGCCCTTCCCCCTGACTCTATATTTCCATCCCTCTCTCCTTCCCTCATTTCATTCATCCACTTATTGAATCATTTACCCTCTGTATGAAATACTGCGTTTGTATGTTTACACAACATTAGCCGATTAACACAACTTTTCATTTCTTAATGCGTAGAGAATATTGGCGGTCTTTGTGGTCATTTGGGAGACTTGTTTGGCACCTGAAGGAATGCTCTGAGTGACTGCACTGTAGATAATTACCGCTGCAGTTACTTATTCCACCGAGACAAGAGGAGGAAAAGGAAGAGAGCCCTGAGTTTGGATAAAGCTTGTGTTGTTTTAATTAACTTTACCAACCCCCAACATGTGTGCTTCTTTAACATCTCTTGTGCAGGTTTTCGTTTTAGCACACACACTATACAAACAGACATATGACTTATCCGATTATCACTAAAATCAATTGTGTTCAATTGACCTTCCCCACTATTTCTAAGATGACCCTTACTCCCTTGTTTTCTTCTTCTCCTTTTTTAAATCTCTTGTGTCAAACAAAAGCTGCCAGTGGTGGTGGAGCTATTAAGCAAATACTCTCATTAGAACACAAAACATAATTAATATGTAAATGATGTGTGTAATTTATGCATGGACTGACAGACTTGTTCTCTTTTCAGTTCTCCATTGTATTCACTCTATTTATATCCCCTTTACTTAAAACTTCACACTCTTACGCCAATTTTCCTCTTTTCTTAGACCACATACTGTGAATGAATCCGTGGGGGATGTCTTGAGGTCTTTCCTATTGTCTCTTTTTTTGTACACATTTCTCCCTGCCTTTAACCATGGTTTATAGTTTCTAATAGTATCTCTGAGTCTCTGTTTTCCCTGCTTGCCTCTCTCTGCTCACAGCCTGTCCTCTCCTAAAACAAACCCCGCAGTGACGCATTAAACCAACAAATGAGTGTTTGAACAAGGTCTTTTTTCCAGGAATATGAATACTGAATAATCTATCCACTAAATAACATCCACACTGCACTGTGTCGTATTCTGTGTTTTCTCTTTGTCTGTCCCTGAATGTGTTGATCTTAATGTGTGGTCCAAACCGTGTGGTAAATTGAAGAATGTCCTGATAGACGGTGAGTAGCCTTGCTCCTGTCTAGGATAAACACCTATAATACGCTGGCTCCCTTGGCAATCACCATAGCAACAAACCATGGTACCCACGTGAGTTGCATAATAAGATGTTCTCCAAGACCACAGACCATAAAGCGGCGACAAACTAGACACCTGCAGTAATGGATGTGAATCAGAAAACAACCGTTCAAATGTAAAATTTCACCTCCGACTTATGCCAGACCAATCCTTTCTATTTATCAATAGGCTCACATCACACAACACACAGTCTTAGATGCTCATGCACCTTCTCTCTGTCTCTCCAGACCTTAACAGGTGCTGATGAGCCACAGTCAATGATTGTAATGAGCTATCGATCACCGTGGGAAAACCCAGGGACAGAGAGGGTGAGGGAGGTAGGGGGAACCAGAGGACACACACACAGACAGAAGGAGGTGGACTGCCAGAAAAGAAAAAAACTTCAAATGAGCTAAATGGAGACAAGCTACCCAAGACAGGGTATCAATACTTGCTTTAATCAACTCCTTATCTCCTATTGTTCTGCTTAAATAGAATATATGGGGAAGGGCTCTCTGCCAGCGCAGGTTGAAGGGAGGTTTTGAACTCAGAGTAGCTTCTGGACGGGCTGATCTGCTCAGGATGACCATGCAGATACGTTTGTCGTGACCGGGTCCAGATGCCCGGGAATGGCACTGGCGCAGTATCTCTATTTTCTTCTTTTTGTGCTGTGTGCATGGAGTGGAGGCAGACAGCTTTAGGGAAGGGGGAGGTGCGTTGTGTGTGTGTGTGTCGTGTCGTGTGTGTTGGCTGGCGTTTCAGATAATGAAATGCAGCAGGGAACAAAGAGCTGGGGGCCCCTATTCTCTGTGCTGCAGCTTCATTTTCAGTCCCGTCAGTCTATGATTCTTCCATACCCTCTTTCTTGTGTACGTGTATGCGTGTGTGTTTATGTTTGTATGAGCAGTTTGTTGTGTACACCCGTGCCCCCTCCTCCTCCTGTTAGTATTCTGCATGGCAGATCCCCCTAATGTAATAACTGTGTCTGCATGTCTAATTTACAGCAGGAGAGAGTAAATAGCCTGTGGTTAATTACAGTATGTGTGTGTGTGTGTGTGTGTGTACGAGTGTGTGTGTGTGTGTGTGTGTGTGTGTGTGTGTGTGTGTGTGTGTGTGTGTATGCGTGTGTCTACATACGCGTGGGTGTGTCAGAATGATTTATGAGTTGCAAATAGCTACACCAGTGGCCCGTTTCTCCTCACTTAGTTTTTAATCTGTCTTACCATTAATTTTCCTGGAGACGTTATTATGGTTTTATAACGGTGTGCACGAGGATACATATGTGAGTGCACGTATTTGTTAATGAGACAAAGGTGTGGACATTTTGTGAGGATATAGGCTACTTGGGCACCTGAGCTGTACTTTGCTTAGAGAACTCCATTTGCCTTCCTTCCTTTCCCTTTTTCTCCTTTTTCTCCGTTGCTTCATTCACTCTCTTCATTGAGAGCCACAATGAACACAGATCTTTATTGACAGTACACGGTAGAACATGGAAACAGCAGGTCAATCCGTTTAGCCCAAGGGCCGATACACCAATTCACCAATTTGTCAGTGTTAGTTTGAGAGAGAAAAGCAGCTAATCTCTCCTCTCTGCTCTCTATTGATCACACACTTAGACTCCACTTCTCTGTCTAAACACTATTGATTCTCTCTCTCTCTCAATCTCTCTCTTTCTCTCTTTCTGTCTTGCTCTCGCCACATACCACAGCTCTCAACACATCTTCACTTCATACGCTGACTTCTGCTTGGACAGAAGTTGAATTTTTGAGACTGTATTTCCTAAAGCCCCGATTCACATTTAAAATGAATTCTTGAGAACATTTTAGTATGAACAAAACAAGACTAAATCAATTCAGTAATAGTGTAATAGAGCTTATCAACTATACAAATCATTTAAGAGTTTATTCCACAACTGTCACATATTGTTCCCTGCTGTGTTCACTCAAAAGCGTATGCATAGTCTCATTAAAAAAATCAATTACGTAGCAACCCCTACACAGCTTCAACACAGACAATGATTAAAAATTCACTGCTGGGTACACTGTCTTCCGGCTTTGTTTTTCAGCCTGACATCACAGGGTGCACTTGAAAAGGACCATATTCCTGTCAAGATGAAGGCTACGCAAAAATTATAGAAAGATTATCTTAAGGGAGATGGCACCCCTACATCAATCCAAATTGAACCAAAGATCACTACTTGATTGGATTCAGTGTGTGTGGGGCCTTGTCACATTTTAGTTGAGACGTAACATTTGGAAAAGGAATGATTACACTGTTGATGACAAGATGAAACACAGAGAGACAGACCTATGACACAAAAACAGGTGTTCTTCTTGCATCTATCATATCCTTTTGCCATAATATCTAATAAACGAAATGTAAACAGGGAATCCCAACTGTTACTCAGATGCTTTGAAAAACAGCCATTGGTTTCACTATCTTCCCCACATAGCGTGTATGTATTAGACTTGTACCCCCTCTACTGGTGATATAAACACATTACAAATGTTAAACTTTGCAGGTTACAAAACATAAACACATGGCTTGTGTAACCTAAAATCAGCTGTTTGATAACCGGCACTTGGGCGTATGGTGAGGGCGTGGAGCGCATCATGTGCTAAATGTTTAATGTATAGTTATTAACAATCAGTCACCTTTTAGTTTGAGATGGCTCCTTCAGCGGCTGCTAGTGAAGACAGGAAAGCCTTGGTGAGGAGGATGTTAATAGAAGTTCTGATGGGTCGAGAAGATCCAGAGGGGTTCTTTGCGATGTGTGTGTCCGCTCTGGGGCCCCAGGAGACCCGCTCTCAGTTCCTGGCCCTCATCCAGCCCCTGTCCACAGCCAACAGCTCCCTGCACTCCGGCCTCACCTCCATCTACGAGCAATATTTCTCTAAGGTTAGTGGGTAAAGTTATTTATTTAATACAAATAGCATTTTATGTTGTTGCACTTTTAAATGCAGGTCTCCCTTGAAAAAGAGACATATGATCTCAAGGGACAATCTGGTTAAATAAAGGTTTGAAATGAAATACCTGGGTTACAAAGTTGCTTACAAGGTACCGTTTTTAAAAGAGAAGAAACAACAAGAATGCATTTAAAGAAAAACTACCAAAATTCAAAAGTCACCCAACTAGCCAAACTTGTGAGAAAAGTTGTCATGGCTAACGTGTTAGCAAACAATTAGCCATGATACTAGTTAGTGTTAGTCCCCGAAATTGACATTAGCACTAATATAGCAACATGGACCCATGTAAGTGGCACTTTTTTGCCATGTATTCACTTTTTGATCTACCTGCTCCCGAGATAAATGCCTGACTCTTGGCTTTCCAAATAAGCTGATGTCTTCTCCCCTCACTTCCTTTCTGCAACTTATTTCCCCCTGCATGCTCTTATTAGCATGTCAGATGAGGCTAACTTGTGTTAGCTCCTGTACTGGGAGCATATAGTGTTTTGGCTTTCTTGGACCAAATACCACATGCCATGAGTTAAAAATGAATATGCAAGTCCAATAAATAAGTTTGCCCAAGATATAATTTAGCCACATATCACCTGAAGGCCCAGTGCAACTTCCTCTTCTCATCGAGTTTATTAAAAATAAAAATAAATGTAATAACCATGTTATTTATTAGCAATACAATCAGTTTAAATACAAATGGCAAGGTGCTCCTAAATGTGGAACATAGCCAATAGGGGTGTCAGAGAGATGTCCGTAATTTAAATGTAAAGACATCACCTGCATGTGTCGCACACACAAGTTCATACATGTAAAAGAAGTGAACACATACCTGAATAGGTTTGTAGAAACTTTTTTGCATAGTTTCTGTAAAAATCCTACCCTGGTGGTTGATTTTATACAGATACAGTACAATCTGACAGTTTAAACTGCAACAATTTGCATTCTTGCTATTGTTATACCTGTTACAAACACACATAGGCTATTGCAAATATTGTATTTGCATGTTTTCATCTCTACCCCAATGACGATAAGCAGCTGTTTTAACAGTAGGCCTACTCACATTTTATTTTCCTATTTGAATTGGAGACTGAAGATGATGAACTGCAACTCGCATTGGCTCTCTCTCTACTGGAAGTGAAAGATGACCAGCTGTCAAGCCCCAGCCAAGACTCCCCACTTCAGCCACCTAGAGACAGACCAAATCAGAGAAGCCCTGCTCAAAAGTCAACAGTATCTCAGCCTCAGGGAAACAGCCACACCAAGCCAGCAGATGGAGTTGGTAGGAGAGAACACACCATCACAACACAAACTGAAGCCAGGGTCAAGGCGAGCCCATTACAGACATTCAGAGAAACTGAGCTTCAGAAAAACAATGTTGACAAATATAAAATGGGGACACCGGGGACAAGTCTGGCTGGGTGTGTCTCCAGTCCGTCCGGCTTGTTTTTAAAGCAAAACACGATTGAAAAAGATAACCAAATGATGAACGAGGGAGATTTGAATCAACCAGAGACACCAAAATGCTCTAAGAACAGGCGGCAGAGGCGTAAAGGCGCTGGCCAGAAGATTGTAGGTTTGCCCTGTTCTCCATCAGCACAACCACCCGTTCTGCTGTGGTTCAGGAGGGACTTGCGACTTGGGGACAATCCTGCTCTCATCGGCTCTCTGGAGGTTGGTTCACCCGTCATCCCTGTCTTCATCTGGAGCCCTGAAGAGGAGGAGGGACCTGGGATAACAGTGGCTATGGGGGGAGCCTGTAAGTTAACGGAGGAAATAATAATAATGGTCAATCGTTGTCCCATAACGTCTCATATTGATTTTTTTTATTGAGTTTCATGTCTTCAGATGGTTGTCCTCTTACAAATGTTCTTTTTAACAGGTAAATACTGGCTTCATCAAGCTTTGTCTTGTTTCTCTTCATCTCTGGAGCGCATTGGCAGCCATCTTGTCTTTCTTAAGGCAAATGGATCATCTCTGTGTACCCTTAAGGAGCTAGTAAGAGAGACGGGAGCTAGAACGGTCTTGGCTAACGCCCTCTATGAGCCCTGGCTGAAGGAGAGGGATGATGATGTAGAGTCAGCCCTTCAGAAAGATGGTGTTGAATGCAAGATGTACCACTCATACTGTCTCAGAGACCCCTACTCTGTCAGCACTGAGGGTGTGGGACTCAGAGGTAAGTTGCAACAAGTTTAATTTGGTGAACAGAACTTCAATTATTTGTGGTAAATATCTGCTTTAAATCTGCTAGCAATACAAGTTAATTGGTACGTTTATTCAATTGTGAACTGTGTTATCTTCTCTGGATTTAGGAATAGGTTCAGTGTCTCACTTCATGAACTGCTGTAGACAGAACCCAGGGTCTGCATTAGGGGCCCCTCTGGACCCTCCTGTATCTCTACCCACACCCGCGTATTGGCCTCAGGGTGTCTCTTTGGACGTGCTAGGCCTGGGTCGTATGCCCCGCAGGAAGGATGGCACAACGGTCAGTAACCACAGCAGAGCAGCGCTGTAAGGCAGAGTTATAATCCAAAACACAGTCAAGATTAGATCATGAAATCATTAACATATCCTTATTTATATCTTGGCATTCAGATTGACTGGGCAGCTAACATTCGCAAATCCTGGGATTTCAGCGAGGATGGAGCATGTGCCCGGCTAGAGGCCTTTCTGAATGATGGTGAGACATCTTGCATGCACATTGTAAACAGTGATGCACAATATGGATTATTTTGGAGAAAAGTTGTGAATTGTCTCATTGATGTAACAGTATATTATGATTCCTCCATGTTTCCTAGGTGTGTATAGATATGAAAAAGAGTCAGGCAGAGCAGATGCCCCAAATACCAGCTGTCTGTCTCCCTACCTTCACTTCGGTCAGTTAAGCCCTCGCTGGCTGTTATGGGATGCCAAAGGGGCGCGCTGTCGACCCCCGAAGTTCCAACGCAAATTGGCCTGGAGAGATTTGGCTTACTGGCAGCTGACATTGTTTCCTGATCTCCCCTGGGAATCCCTCAGACCTCCATACAAGGTATATTATTGGCTTAAAACACCCATATTAAAATGTAGTGCAAGTAATACTCATAAAAGCAAAAAGAAATGTAAAGTTGAACAACTCTTCATGTTCTCCAAAGATTAAAAGCCTAAAGGACACCGCTAAGAACTATGTTTATTACAAAGCAATATTCGTATTTGCAGGCTCTGCGGTGGAGCAGTGATAGAGACCACCTGAAGGCCTGGCAGCGGGGGCGGACAGGCTACCCTCTGGTGGACGCAGCCATGAGGCAGCTGTGGCTGACAGGTTGGATGAATAACTACATGAGACATGTGGTGGCGTCTTTTCTAATAGCATATCTCTATCTGCCATGGCAAGAAGGCTATCGTTGGTTCCAGGTGAGACATGCATACACACAGGCACACAAAGCTCTCACATAGATGTCATAGCAGCAACACACAGAATAATAAGCACTCCTTACCAACCTCATCTGTTTAGGACACCCTGGTGGATGCAGATGTTGCCATAGATGCTATGATGTGGCAGAATGGAGGCATGTGTGGTCTGGATCACTGGAACTTTGTCATGCACCCTGTCGATGCAGCCATGACCTGCGACCCCTACGGCAGCTATGTTCGAAAATGGTGTTCAGAACTTGCCGAGCTACCTGATGAGCTTGTTCACAAACCTTGGAAATGTCCTGCACCCATGCTACGACGTGCTGGTGAGAATGTTATTGATCATTAAAAATGAGGTTATTTTGTATGGAACATGCTACCTTAAGTTTTTAGTCCCACACCTTAACATACAAATCTCCTCTCCTTGCTACCGTCACTGCCTAGGTCTGGTCTTTGGCCAAACGTATCCTGAGCGAATAGTTACAGATCTGGAGGAGCGGAGGAGTCGTTCGCTGCAAGATGTGGCTCTGGTGCGGAAAGAGTTTGGACAATATGTGGACAAGCGCTCAGGCTGCGACTTGGTGCCTCTGCCCCAACGCCTGGTCTCTGAGGCTCTGGGCTTGTCACACAGGGATGGCGGCGTGGTGACAGAGGGACAGCAGTTCCTGTTGCCTGTTATCACCCGCATGGAATTCAAACACCAGCTGGAAGATCCAGACGCAGATGCCGCCTCGAATCCCTACAATGCTGTTCTGAAAGGATACGTGAGCCGCAAGAGGGATGAGACCATCGCCTTCCTCAATGAGAGAGACTTTACTGCCAGTGTGATGTACGAGGGAGTTCAGAGAAAGGAGAGGCTGGAGAGCGACTACCGTAGAATCGAGGGACTCCCTGGGCTTCCTGCGCCTCGAGGCAGGGCCAGACGAACTCCAACAGCCAAGGACCGGTTTTCTGTAGTATCTGGTGGAGCAGTCTCCTCACTCAGGTGACCCCAAGATCGAAAGTTCACAGCTTTAAGTGACCAGTAACTGGCTGTTAAATGCAAAAGTATCAAATTCTACAGAGCAATATTTTTTAAGTGCAAAAAAATGTGTAAAGAACAATATTTTACAGTGTTTACAAACTGTGTGTGTGTACATAACAGGTTGACTGAAATAGTTCAGGAGATATGTAAATTAGTAAATATGCAAATAGATTTTGTATTATGTGACACTGACATACTGTAATACCAAAGATCACATGTAGTCACATCAGTGGACATTTTTTAAAAACTCTAAACTTTTTTCGGAATAAAAAATGACAAAGAAAACAATGTCTAAGGAAATGTTTATTTTCTAATTTACAGTCCCATGTCTACAGTATAACTGTCACACATGCGGTGTAGACCAACATTATTATTATTATTAATACCATAAAGACCAAAGTGCGTTTTTTAAGTCTTACACAGTCCTACGACAGAAATCAGCTTTGCTTTGACTGTAAGTGTTTAATTGACTGAGTCTCAGTCTCTTCTGTTTGGGGATTTGAGGCTGCAGCAACTCAACACTGTATGTATATTCAGTCCAGACTGACCGGTCCCCTAAAGTCAGTCTTTAACAGTAGATAAATGATTCCTAATGTTCACAGCTCTACAACACTGGCAGGTCAGATATGTGGAGCTCTGGAGCTTCACTGGTGGATGCTAAGCATGGCGTTGTAGCTGACACAGGCACACCTTGTAGATCTCCCTGCATAGCACTTTTAAGAAGGTGTTGGGTTAGTCCTCAATGGAACGGATGTATCGGTCATAGGCTGCTTCATCCATTAGAGCATCCAGCTCTGCAGGGTTGCCAATGGTCATCTTCATCAGCCAGCCTGTATTGAATCGTTGACAGATTAAGCCATGAGTTAAGGACAACGTCAGGGTTTCATCATTCTTAAGTCTGATTAGCACAAGAAACATTTTTGACAACACTGCCACTGTTTCCCAGAGCACTCTTTTTCAAAGGGGCTATTGGCTAATTTTGTTCATTACAGAATGAAAATACACTTCATAGTACTTTGTGGTTGCTTGAGCAAACCATCACAGTGGTTGTGTGTTTGCCTTTTGAAGCTACATGATCAATGCACAGTAGAGCAGCAATGAGTGAACTTAACAATTCTGCAGTGCATTGTCATGCAGTGATAATGTTATTCTGACAACAAAAAGTAGACCATGGTTAGTGTGATGGATCGCTATCATACATGTCTATGTGTAGTCTCGTTGTATAGTTGTAAATGAAAGGAAACGTATTTGCTGTTTAGGAGTTAAGGCTAAAAGGAATGAATGTAAAACACTGGAATGCCATGGAAAATGCTAAACACTAATTCAAAGTATTTGCAACAGAGAGCTACATAGGCAACATCATTGGTATGGATCAGGTGTGTTTGTCTTTAACACTTTTCAAAGACAGTTCTGCCACTGGGAGAACAAACGTTTTTGATTGGCATTTATGATACAAAATATGCTATAAAAGGTATATTGTTTACAATTGAAAGATCCTGAAGTCAACTTCTTCTATATTATGTTGCATTACTGCCACCTACTGTCCAAATAAAATAATTAAGCTAGTCAGCAGTAAATCTCAAAGCCAATTACTAGGGCTGTGCAATTAATCGTATTTTAATCGCAATTACGATTTTGGCCTGCCACAATTACGAAAACAACATAATCGAAAAAAACGATTATTTTGCTTTGCTTGGTTGTGACAGTGCACTGCAACATATTTGATCTAATTTATTTTAGTCTAATTTATTTGTATTTATCATATTTACATATGTTTAGTAGCTTGTTGAAGTGCGCTCCAAAATATTTGTTGATCTTGTTTATTGGTATTTATTATTTTTGATATTATTTATTTAAATGTAAATATAAATGTATCTTTTTTTTTTTTTCAGTTGAATTATACGTTCAGGGTAATCAACAGTTAAAAAGATACTGTTCAAATTATTATTTGTATTTGTTTTAAAGTTCAATAAATGGATGTTTTCAAAGTCAATGAATAATCGTATTTAATAATCGTGATATCAATTATTGACCAAAATAATCGTGATTATGATTTTTGCCATAATCGCACAGCCCTACCAATTACTGTGAATTATTATGGATGGCAACTGTAAAAATCTGTAAAACAATTACTTTCTTGATGTTTGACAAACTCCCCAGTACATTGACTTTAGACAAGTTTTTGTTGCAAGAGGGTAGGCCTAGACCAGTGTTTCTCAAACTTTTTCATACCAAGGACCACTTAACCAATAAAAAAACACTCGCGGACCACCTAACTCCACAAATATCCAAAATCACATCGTTTTTCTAGAACAGATTACAAATCGCCTGAAAATGGTACAAACAAGTGGCAACATGTGTGATGAAGGTGTTGCGCTGGGCTATATCATGCAATTTAAACTTAAGCTCGCTCCATTGCGGAGATATTCCCGCGAGAGTGCGGAAAACTTAAGTTAATTTATTTATTTCAAATGTGAAATGTTACCAATATACTCACGGACCACTAGGGGGTGCTCACGGACCACCAGTGATCCGCGAACCACACTTTGAGAAGCACTGGCCTAGACAATGACTGGTGTCAGTGTTCAACCTGTACATACAATCTTAGGCCCCGTCCACATGGAAACGAAACAGGTGTTATCCGCTATAGTTCTTTATCGTATGGACGGTTCGTCCACACGAGCCCGTAACGGAACCGCGGAAACGGAGCCCTCAAACGATAACGCATCCCAAAGTGGGAAGGTTTGGTAACGTAACGCTTGCGGCACCGTGTGTACGCCCTAAACGATCATTGCCCCGCATCTCCCCACCTCTCCTGCTCACTCCGCGTCATTGTTGATGCGTTTCAACAACAACAACAACAATGGCGGATCACAGGGTTGCGTTCATGCTCCAGATGCTACTGACCATGATACAGATGTTAGTGCAAAATCTACAGCTCCTCTACCACAACGATCAGCAACAAGTGGACATGGAGAACTACATGAACTACATGTTGCGAAATCCACCGCGGAGAATAACCAGAAGGGCAACCAGGCAACCAGGCAACCATGCTCGGGGGGGGGGGGGGGGGTCTTCTTCGCTGCTTTTGGTGTATTTTGTGGCGGAAGTACAGCGCCACTTACAGGCCCGGCATATGTACTACAGCGTCTCCAGCGGGTCGAGCGGTCTCGTGTGGACGGACACGTTTCTTGTGCCGATTCCGTGTGGACGTAAGACTTTTTTTTAATATCGACCTCGGTTCGTTTTCGTCTCCGTGTGGTTGGGGCCTTAGACACTTCATAGTCAAATATCACCTGTATAAGCTCTAACACTAGCTTAAAGTATGCTGCTTTCAACTTCAAATGCCCTCTTTAAATAACTGGACTACACATTTTTCTGAGTGACTCACCATCTGTGTAGCAGGATTTGTTGACCAGACCTGGGTTGTCTGCCAGGAGAGTATTGACCTCTACAACTTCTCCAGTCAGGGGGGAGTAGAGCTCACTGGCAGCCTTCACACTTTCCAGAGCCCCAAACTCATCTGTGGCAGATTGACATCAAAGTAAGTTCATTTCACAATCGCAACCTCACAGAAGGTTCAGCGACATATTGCTTAGTTATGGTGAACTTAATTCAGGTAGTTTTTTTTTGTGGCATGTCCAAACACAGGTGCTACAAGTTTAAATCATTTACAACCACATTTTTTGTTTTAATTATTGGTGGAAAGTAGAAAAGAAATTGCTCATTATCAACACAACAATATGAGACTTTTGCTTTATGATATTATGAAACATGCAGGCTTTGTAAGGTTTTAAAAACTTTAAAAAATCTCAACTAAACAAAAAAGAAATTGAGACTGTTTTTACACTTGTTCCCTTCATCCAACAGGAACAAAACCAACATTTCACCAAAATATTTGGTGAATGTTAACATCAAATAGCATTCGGTGGTGGTGAAGTCCATAGGGACTTGGCTTGGCAACTGGAAGGTCACCAGTTCAAGTCCCGGCAAGACCAAGTGCTACCGAGGTGTCCCTGAGCAAGGCACAGTTCCCTACACTGCTCCCCGGACGCCGTTCATAATGGCAGCCCACTGCTCCTAACCATAGACTGTATATATAAAGCTCCTAACACTAGGATGGGTCAAATGCAGAGAAACCATTTCGTTACATAGTACCTGTACTATGTAATGACAATAAAAGTGCAAAAAAAACTAAAAAACTTAACACACAATACTAGTAATCTAAAAAGTCTCAAATCCTTAAATTGACATATTAGCATTAACAACTATTGAGCAGTTATTTTATTCTCACCACCAAGTGATTAGATATATTGTATTTTAGGAATTGTTAAGTGTCCTTGGGTGTAATGAAAGGCGCCTCGAAATAAAATGTATTCATATTAGGCTATTATTAAAAAGGTAAGTGTGAGATAAAATGCATGAGATTAGTGTTGCTGATTTTTCGTTATCAATAAATCTGGTGAATTCGTTTTCAAATCTGATAAACTAATCGTGTAGTGTATGACCTTTCAAAAAATGGAAAGTGATTTTAGCCTGAGCTGCCCTGAACTCCATACCTTGCTGAGCCAGCTGTGTTCCCACCTCTGGCAGTCCACAGTAAACTACATCCCCCAGAGCCTCCTGCAAGTGGCAGAGAGCAAGGTCAAACGATGTTGCAAATTGTTTACTTTATTGCTTACACGCGTGTGAACTTGTGCATGCACTAATGTCTGTGTGACCAGGGAACTTACTTGCGCAAACTTGCTGATACCGACAGTCCCATTCCCGTCGTCTTCTACCCGGATCCATTCGTGCTTGTCTGTGAATTTAAGATCTGCAAAAAAACACAACAACTTCAGAACACAAACAGCACCTTGGTAGAAGACTTTGGAGTATTTTGTAGTTGATGTAGTTAGTAGTTGTTAAGTTTGACAACAAGAAAAACAACAGAGGCAAACAGCAGTGTCGTGTCCTAATGTTACCCTCTAGCTACCGAAAATGTTAGCTAAATGTGCTACAATAAAAGACATGCAAAAGGCAATACCTGCTGTTACTCGACTAGAAGTGGTTATGGTTCTTCCAAAGTAAGATGTAGATGCCAGCCGCAACGGTGAAAGTGTTACCGAGCGGTTGAGTAATGGCAAAACTGTGAAAAAGTTGGAAGACAGGGAGCGGAGTAGCCCACAGGCGGCCATGTTTGTCGCTTACTGATGAGCATAGGTTGAATTATTCTTCGTGGATTTTAGCGGCATCAGTAGCTCTTCACTGCCCTCCACTGGGGTTAAGGGCAGCTGGCGTCCTCTTGTGGAGATCCTTTTCTTTGCAGTCTTAAAAATACCTCTTTAGGGAGCTGAGTCTGACCAACATTACATTTCATTTTCATTGAATTCTGCCTCGTCCACTACTGCAAGTATTTACCTGTGTGCATGCTGTTCAGATTACTGTGTCCTATTTTATTTCCATGATGAAATGGTGATTGTTTTACTCTAATCCTGCCTCTTTTTTTTAAAACTGAAAACCAATACACTTTTTTTCTCTCACCTTTCATTAATTAACTTAAATAAAATAATGATCTTTTTTAATCTAATTGGAAAAAAAAAAAGTATTTTAGTTGAGATTAGTAAATTATTTATAACTCCTTTTGAGTTGATCATTTTCTACCTGGATAGTATTTTCTTAAGATTTGGATCATATAGTATATTGATTACCGGGACATAATTCACATGCTACCCAATTGACATCTAAAACCTTACCAGCTGCAACATTAACACAATGCTATTATATCAATACATCATCCAGCAATTTCATATTTATAATGTTATTTTAAAATGGGCCTATCCTTGATTTACTACAATCATTTAAAGAAAGAAACAATAAATATATTGCCTGACCCCTCTCATCAGCTTTGCCAGCATTGTCACACTACTTTGCCCGTCTATTTAACCTTACCCTGTTTCTGTTCTAAGTACATTTCAGAATCATAAGTTTAGCTCATCACAGTGTTATTTACGGTCGTACTGCTTCTCTGTGTTTAAAGATCACTTTCAATTTAGAAAAAAAAAAAATCACAATCCACAGACTTCAGCGGCACACAAAATAAAGAAAATAAGTGGAACGTGTTAAAATTATGTTTATTAAAAAGGAAATTCTGGAGAACACAGGGTTATGTCATTATAAATCTGATTCTTCCCATTAGAATAATAGCTATCATCTCTTCGAGACCCACACACCAGAACTGTAGACCCATGATATCATTGTGTGAAATATTTAAATAACCACTACGTATGCCATTTAGGGCATTGTAATTAAACAGACACTTTTATTCAGATTCACTGATTTAAATTATCTTTACAAATCTATGGCTCAATTGTTATGGACAAAATACTGCAGTGATAAAGTTCCCAAAACACTTATCAGAGTTGTTTCAGCAGCCGAGTAGATTTCCTACAAATCAATTAAATATGTTGTGGCATGGTCTAGATGTGTACACTTCCTTTGTTCATAAAAGCACACAAAGACTGATCGGACAGGAAGATAAACGCTCATTCATATTGACCAGCCTAACAAAAATTTAAATTATTTATTAAGTAACACTTTTTTCATACAAAACAACAGAATATATAAAGAAAAGGTCACTCATGCCTGGGAGTTCTACTATTGCTCACAATTGCATTAGCTGAGGAAATGGCATGTTTGGAATTGAAAAATAATAAAAATAAAGCAAACATGATGAGCGTTTCTCACAACCGTGCACTCCCTTTGTCCCGTTCTGGCTTCATAAACTATGCTGTTAAACAAACTAAAAATACAGAACAACTACAAAAAGTGTCCACCCCTATACCTGGGCTAAAAGCTACAAACATAAATAAGAAAAGCACAAATGTTTGGCTTTTACATTACACAGCTTCAAGAGTCCATCCAGTGTCCACTTTTCCTTATTTGATTCTGAAGGTGAGAACAAAAAAAACAACAACAACAAGAACAACATTGATAACAGTAAAGAGATCAACAGCTTTCTGTGGAGTAAGGAGTGAAAACAGAGGGGATAAAAACTCCTGTGTGTGTGTGTGTGTTTGGTTGTTTTCTCCATCAGAGCTCCTTGGAAGCTTGCGCGCCCTTGCTGAAAGGCGTTTTACATGTAACATGTCTGTGTAAGGTCCCTCCTGCAGGGGGTGCTGTGTGCTGCCGGATGGGTGCGAGGAGCAGAGGTGAGTACTGGCGGTCCATGGCAGGCAGGCAGAGGGGGGTCTTTAGTCAGTAAAGTCTCTCTCCTCACTGCGGGAAGGATCTGCTAGGTGGGATAAGCCAGGAAGTTCATCTCGGACCATGGCCAGGTCATCAGCGTGCACCTGGACCACACTCTCTCTCTTTTTTGTACACACACACTCTCCTGACGTCTCCGTGTCCACAAACACGCGCACAATCAGCCAGACCCAGACACCCCTGCTAGTTTTTAGGTGGTCCGTTCCTCCCCGTCGGTCTCCTGCTTGGTCCTGCGCAGGTTGCTCTTCATCTTCACAAACTCCGGGGTGTTCTCCTGTTCATCCTCATTTTTCTGTTGCTCCAGCTCCAGCTGCAAGAACAAAGACATTCTGATTAAACTAATTATAGACGTTATAATCTGTTAATAGCAATATCTATACATAAATGCATCTTCTCTTGTGATTAGATACGGTAAGTATCTTCATCCATGTAAATGCTAAATGTTTATGTTTTGATTATTCACCTGCTCTAGTTTCTGTTGTCTTTTCATGAGCTCTATCTCCAGGTCGCTCCTCTTCTTGTGGGCTTCCTGATCCTCTTTCTGAGCCTTGAGAACTTGTTCCCTCTTTCTCTTCTCCAGAACCTTCTGGAGCTCAGGTTTGTTTTGAGCAGCCAGACCCCTGTGCAGAATCAGAGAGACAGCATGTTACTAAAGCAAAGCTTTATGTTGTCACTACACAGCCCCACTCAGAGGGAGATTAGCATTCACATCCATGCGTAACAGATGATGTCCGTGACCTCATCCTAATTTGACATGCAGATCTGAATTAGATTTTCTGTATTAATCATGTCATTCGTGTTTCAGGAAGTTTTGATTTGGAGCCCAATCACAGATTGTCCCATATTTACCAGTCTATGTAGGTGGTGGTGGCCAACATTGCAACTGACTTTTGAAAAGACTGTTTAAACGTTAAACCGTTGCTCTTTTTCTTCTCTTCCAAACATAAATAAAACATGTCTTTATATCTCAAATATTCCTCACAAGGTAGCTGTCTTTGGGTGATGCATAACTGTGATTACAATCTTACACAGCTGCATGGGTTTGTGCAGCAACACTGAACAATTGGCCTTCTCGTAAAGTCTGAGCGTGACTTGCAAAAAAGAGAAGAATGTCAAATGTTATGCAACATAAACTCCTCCAAATTACCAGAGAGAAGAGGGGGGCTTAAGGATTAGGGTCGGGAGAAGGGGCACTTAAGACAGAGGGAACAGAGAGGCGTTGGAGTAAGCTATAAGGCAGAAGCCAAACAGGAAGAAAATGCAATAAAAGGACAGAGGCTATCCATTTTTCAAAAATATATTATCCATGCCCTTGATTCAGGTGTTTAAATTTTTTTTTAAATTAAATTAAATAAATTTAAAAAACATATTATTCAGATGACTTTACTCTATAATATTTCCTTTAGCGATGAAAGCCTGACTCTGCACAGGCTGCCTCTGTTGTTGAAAGAAAACACAGTGTGCGTAGCTGACTGCTGCTCAGCAACAACAATGTCTTAATTAAATGTTTTATTAAATCCTGAAGGTTGCATAACCGAGCCCCCGGTGTTCCGAGTGGGAGTTAATTTACAAGAGGGCACTAGTTAAATGCCCTGCTTTTCCTGACGGTGAGGGTCTCGTGACGGCACTTAACGGGCTGAATCAGAGCAGAGGGTCAAAGACAAGGTCAGGTCGGGCTGTTTGCAAACACCACGCACAGGAAGGGAGGAGGGTCAAGGTCACTGAAAGCAATAAGACAGGCTGTAAAGATGCTCACTCCACTCTCCTTTTTATGTTGGCATCATTTACATAATAACTAACCCCCACATCCATGACCCCCTTCATGTAGCAAACTGCGAAGAATGTATGTTCTAAATCCTACGCATCCATTACCTTCATCTGCTCCAATGAGTCACCAGTTTGGGTGGATGAAGTTCTGACACTCTCCTGTTTATATATATACGATTGTGTGTAGGAAGAGTTACCACAGCTAGGTAGCAAAGGCAGAGAAAGGTTCTCAGCTGGAGACTGTTTTGTAATCTTCATTACATAACACATTTTCCTCTGTTCATGCAGCCAATCCATCCATCCATGCATCCACCCACCCCACCCTCGCCGGCGTGACTAATCCACTACGCAGGCAAGCTTTCTCTACTTCCAGTACACGACTGAAAGCCCCGTCATAACAAGCATATCCCCCCAAAAGCCCACTCGATTTATCTCACTCTGGGACATTCTCCGTCTAGACCAATAGAAACAACATCCAGCAGCCTCTTTCTAATATTATTTTATTACATTCCTTGCATGGCCCTTCTTAATCCTTCCCACCCTGGCCCGTTTTCCATCATTAATTAATGCCCTGCCTCCATCATTACAAAAGCACCTCACTATTTGATCTGTTGAGGACTGAGCATCGCTCATGTGATGTAACAGCTGTCAACAGCATGTGTGTTTACATAAGCTATTTATAGCTCAGGCACAAGGCTGCTGCCACTGTGTGGTGAGAGAAAATGCAAACATTTAGTGTCAAAAGGGTGAGCTCAGGCCGCAGTATGCTGGGTGTTTTCACTGATGCGTGGATGCACACACACACACACACACACACACACACACACACACACACACACACACACACACACACACACACACACACACACACACACACACACACACACACACACACACACACACACACACACACACACACACACACACACACACATCACACACACACACACACACACACACACACAACACACACACACACACACACACACACACACACACACACACCACACACACACACACACACACACACACACACACACACACACACACACACACAACACACACACACACACACACACACACACACACACACACACACACACACACACACACACACACACACACACACACACACACACACACACACACACACACACACACACACACACACACACACACACACACACACACACACACACACACACACACCGCATTAAAACCTGTGTTGTATGATCCGGAATCTGCAGCTAGACCACATTCATCCCGTGCAGTACATCTGTGACCTTTGCATAACCCGTTTTTGATACACTAATGCACTTGGGGTTTTATATAATAGCTCCCTATGAAAGTGTGATATCCTGTGCTTTACATTATACTGCTGCTGGAGGTTGGGTAGGGGACCACTGAAGTCAACTACAGTGACACACTGCAGACGCATCAATACAGTCTGCATGGATACTATCAGACCAATTACAAGAAAGTAGCATGCTAACTGTTTTAACTCCTCCTCCATCAGTAAATTAGCCCAGATCTGGACTGTGTTATATTTGTTCTATGTCCTCATATATATATATATATATATATATATATATATATATATATATATATATATATATATATATATATATATATATATATATATTCATGTTGCATTGTTGGAGGAGCCTGTGACCTACGTTTTTCATCAACACTGTAGCTACTGTGCACATGACAATAAAGCCTTGAATCTGGTTTTGGTTCCACAATTTAACCTACTTTGGATGGTAAGCAAATGTCTTGTTGCCAAAAATAAACAAGGACATGATGATGATCTGGAAGGTGCTGGACATAAACACAGTTTTACAATCCAATAAATGAATAAACCATTATCTCCATTCATAGGCTTGGAAAATAAAATGAAACTGATTTGTTGATGTGCTATAAAACATGATCAAATGTTGGGTTGCTGAATGTAAAGTAAGAGTAACCTGGGGATGACCACATGGATGAACCAAATCAAATAAAGAAGAAACCAAGGGAGAGAGAGTGTGTCTTTCTGACCTCTTCTGGTTCATGAGCAGCTCTCGGTGCAGGTCCTGGTGGTTACGAGAGTTCTTCACCGGGTTGATCAGCTTCTTGGGTTTGATGAGCTCATCACAGTCTCCCTTCCAGGTAGTCGGGCTCCGCCATGACACTCCTCCCTGGTGACAGCGATAAACCAGGGTCACACGGATCTGAGGGGACAGAAAAAAAAAATCATAAAGACTTTAATTTAACCACTAACATTTTTGGGATGTAACAATGCAGCGAAAACCGAAATCTTCAAAGCATTTTTGTTTTTAAAAAAGGGATCTATTTTTTCTCCTTTCAAACAGTGATGTGAGCATCTGCCTGATCCTCTGGCATGGGCTCAGAAATTGATGTCGTTTCTAGAGTGATAAAAAAAGGACTCAAAGCTGGAATTACATAATTGTTCACTGAGGGAAGAGGAACATTGTATCCCCCTGGCAGAAGCCATACACAATATAATGAAGAACTTAATCACAAAAGTACAGTCAATATCTTTCAGGCACATAGTTATGTAAGTATTGCGAGGGGTTGCTGTTAGTAAACAAAAGGATCAATAGTAACAATACAATAAAATGACCTAAAACATCTAAGTGATTGAAATAGTATGTTAAAAAAAGTAAAACTATTTAGTATTTGATCAGATATTGCGTTCACGGTATATCTTTAAGTTATAGAATGTAAATCAACTCGTATGTGGATATCTATAATTGATCTATTATGCCATAATAAACCTGATTTTGACAAAAGCCATAATGTAATTCACATACAATAACAACAGGAATAGCAGTTATGGCCGCTTAATGCTACTGCTTCCCCCAGGCTTCATTTAGAATAATAAATCATCAGGGTATTTTAAATGAACACACCTCCAAATAAAAGTTTTGATCTCCCAACTTATTTAAGAACAAAATACTGAACTAAAACAATGTTTAAAAACATAGTAAGCACATGTAAGACTAAAACAGCGTAGCACTTTTATCTAAAAAGGCATGGAATTCATTTCTGGCTGGACTCACCCTGCAAAAAGACGGAATATCTGAACATGGTCGTCATCCCTGCTATTATGGTCAGCGCAGTATTTTCCAGAAGAAGCTAATGGGACTCTCAGTCCTGTTGTGTTGCAGAGCCTCACTCAGCAGAGATGCTTCCTCCTGCCGCTGTCTGTTACTGAGCTGGTTGGAGTTCCAAGTCTGTTATATAGCTGCGCTCAAACGGTCTCCCCCCCCCCACCATCTCCCTCCCACCCACTGACATACGTACACCTCTAAGCCAATAACATATTATAATATCATTTTCTATGAATGTATTTCACTGATATAATGAATATGCTCACTTTTGACTATCCTACTCCTTTATAGGAACGTGTTGGGAAAAGAATGAGCCCAGATTAGATAATGAAGTCACATGCATTTCTTTTCCCACAGTCTGAGCAATGACTCAGATTTATAAACATCGTGTTCTCAAGTGCCTGTGAGCGAGTCTCTCCTATCAGACACTGAAAACATGGAGTGATGTTTTGGAACATGAGCGGGCCAATCACATTCATCGGGGGTACCAAAGATGCATTTTCCTGCACGTGCTAGACACAAAGGTGGGGGAGTGTGTCCTCGGAATCAAAACAAACGCAGAGGATGGCTGTAATGGTTTGAAGATACCACTAGAGGCCGATATTCATGCATTCCAGAGACAAAACCAGTTACATAACAAAGGAGCCAAGATAAACATGGTCTGTGGAACAAAGAAGGAGACATACCACATAACAAACATGCTTGATGGATGTAGTGGAATATGTTGACAAAAGAAAATACTACTACAGTAGTAGTGATGGGTAATCCCTTCTTATCTGAGGTGAGTAACCTATTAAAAAGTCTGTTTATTAACTGATGCGGCCCGAACAATTCAAAGATCAACATCAATATCATGAATTTATCCCCTTAAGTAACACGGGTCAAGTTTGGAAATGAAAATAATTCACAACTCTGTTTATAAAAAATAAAGGCAACAAGTCCATCTTCATGCAGTATCACTGTCTGTAATGTTGTTATATGCCATACCAGGTGCATTTAGTGACACAGCAGGAGCATGGCGACAGTGTTTTAGCGTGTGCGATGGCAGAGGTGGGCAGGACTGTGTCTGTAATCAGGGGCTGCGTGTGAGCATTCACGTGCTGTGTACATCAAAGGCGGTTTGTGTTAATGCCGCTGGTAGGGGGTCGAGGAACTTACAGACTGGCAGTGTTGTCAAAGCGTCCGTTAGCTTAACACATCTGCTCCTACTTCCTCTGTGCCCCAGGGAGAGGGGAAGTGACATAGGGAGTTCAAAAGGAACCTGCAACCTCAAATTGGAGCCCTGTAGCCCCTTAAACTCTGCTTTATCACTGCTAGTTCTGCATGTTGTAATCAATGTCCCTTCCCGTTTACCTAATAGTGTATGTTGTTTATCCATCCGCTTTGGGACACAAAGAGAGCCACTTCAACACATGTTCTTTTTGATAACTGCTAGTACATACAAATGTATACTACAACTGTCCAAACATGCCAGTGTGTGGATTAGAGTACACAGATTTAGGGACAACCCTTCCTGCTGTTCCAGGAATCCCATTAAAACGGTTTGTTTATTGGTTTTGGAAAAACACCACAACAGCCCAGACAACAGGCAGACACACACAGAGACAATTAGCCTTTAAAGGAGACCTGAATCCAGATATCCAAGGGAAACTGCGCAGCATTCAGAGGATTCAATACGTACAAGCACTAAGGGGTCAAATGAGAGGAAAGTGGTAAAAACAATGGAAACAAAAGGAGGAAAAAGTGGGTCAGAGGAGAGTCTAGGATAGTAGGAGAGAGAGTTGAAGGCAGCTCTCCTCTGCTTACTTCCCTCTTGGCCAGTCATCCTCATGACCTGTGTGTGACTGTAGTCTCATGCACTGTGAAATGTGCATGAGATATCCAATCAATCATAAAAGAAAATACCAGTGAAATGTAGAGGCTGGAAGTATACACGAATGATTTGAATAAAATAGCACTCATACTCACACACAGGCCTTTGCTTCTGTATACAGTAAAAGTATATTTTGCTGTTTATTTTTTGAGATTTAAAAAAAAAGGTCATTGGATGAAAGTGTTTGATCTCCATGTGTGCAGTAGTGGCAGTGTCTGAAAGTGTAACCCACAGTGGCAGGTTGCATTAGAGCTGATAGAAATATACGAGCAGGATAAGAGTGCCTGCCGTGTGCTAAGTGATTGCATCACTGCGGCCTGCTCTGCTATATGACACCACACAAAGAAGTGCATTCATAATATGGACTCATTTCTCAATTTCCCCCTCAACTGTCATCTTCTCCAAGTCGCCATGGAGACCTGCCATCACTCGGACTGCATTTAGTGACACAGCATTCAGGGACAGGAAGGAGCTGCTGACACTTGAAGCTTTGCTCCGGCCAACACTGAAGAGACTTTCATCAACAGACACACACCCATTAAATAGTTCTTATACTGTAGCTGCTATAATATATGTTATTTAATAACATGATTAAAATGACCATGTGAAATGTGAAAGGTGTTGCTTTTAATGATAAACCCAAAGAGAAGTATCACCGAATTCTGCAGTTCTGCTCGATTGAGCTTTTTAGCTTCTTTCAGCTCACGGTTTCTGTTTTCCAGCGCACAACATTAGTGATTAAGTTCCTCTCAGCGTCATCATATCGGTATTCAGGGGAACAGCTCTGATAAACCCTTGTTATGTTACATGCTCAGGACAGACAGGACAAGCTTCTGAACATAGAGGAGCACTGTTAAAGAGCCGGATATCTATGCATGAAAAGCATTCTTCCTCTTCTAACCCAGAGCACAGATGGTCAGTACACTAATGATGGGGGATCGGGTTGGAGAACCTAAATTGGCCATTAGAAGCACTTTTGTCTTTTCACTGCTAAGAAACAGACATACAGTGGATACTAAAGGAGAAAGGAACAAATCACAACAGTGGATTGTTCCTGACATGGGAAGAATAGAGAGGTTGATAACTACATGTTGGGAATCAGTGCCTAGATGGACAGACTGGTTTAACAACTGAATAACACCATGGTTTATCTGTCATTATTCAGCAGTGGCCTTCCTCCTGCTGCAGCCTCGGAGGCGAGGAGAGCAGCTGGTGTCCTGCTTCTCCATCTGACCCACTCGTCCTTCTGCAGGATGCAGGCCATCAGAGCTCTGCACAGAGTGGGGCTGGGCCCTTAGCCCTCATTGGCTGAGACCACATGGCTGACCACACCCACTCCACCAGGAGCAGCCAGGATTTGTTTTCCACAGTATCCTGTGCTAAGGGGTCTGGCTTATGAAAAAGGATTGATCAGCATTTTAACAACTGGTTTTATATAAGCTTATCATTGACACTAACGTAAAAAAGTGACTTGACGTGGTTCATATTGGTTGATAGGAAGCTTAAAGATAAATTACAAGGAAATGAATACTAATCTAGGCTCAGTTTTGGCCTTTAAATGAAGTGCATTTTTTGAGAGCTGACACCCCAAAAGAAGCTCAAAAGGTATACATTGCTGATATTCCAATCACAGATGCATACATAATAAAAAACTAAACAAGATCTGCTGGCTTTGATCCAGACTCAGTATAAATTAATGAAGTAGACAAATATGTCCATTTATTTTGGATATCAGCTCTCTTGTTCTTTCTCCCCCTCTTGTCCCACATAGTTTTTCTTGCTCACTCTCTGTATCTTTTTGGCCAGATCCTGTCTATTCCACTCACAGATGGGAGGTCCTCCCCTCAGGGGAAATTGCGTCATCAATACCCCTAAAGCAACCCCCACACCCTGTTTTTCTCTCCGTCTTACACACACGCACACACCCTTTCCCCCCCCCCCCTCACAGTGTGTTGCAAGCCGGACGGATCTGAGTGTGGGTCTCTGAGTTTTTCTGTTAATGAAGCGGCCATTCAGCCATAAATAGGAGAGGCCCTAATTAAAACACACAAATAGATGGGCTTTTAACTGACAGCTGTAGGGGGATGGGGGAGGAAAGGCAGGGGGGGGGGGGTGTGAGAGAGAAAGTGACAGAGAAAGTGAAGGAGAAGCAGAGAGTTGGGGGGCCTAGTAGTGACGATGAGCTCATTTCCCGG